AGTCTGAAGTATCTTAGTGAAAGATGAAGTGTCACCTCTCTCCAAACAGACAAAGTACTAGCTGTATCTGAGAATTCTTCAGCCTATAAAATTCACTAAAATAAATTAACATGGGAGGCAGCTGTAATATTTTCAGGGGTTGGATTTTGGATTTTAGGAGTTGCCTTTAAGTCAAAGGCAATCACACTCATAATCCATCTAGCATTATCTAAATACTCAACAACTGCTCTGCACTTCCTTCTGCTGTGTAATGAACCATTTCTGACCACGGTACAGAAATGCTGCATGAAAACCACTGGCAGCGTGGTAATCTGCTGCAGAATACCTGCAAGTGCTACTGAGTTCCCACAATCACAGACATGCCATCAGAAACAACAAAGAAAATTGAAGGGATTTGCTTCCAAACAAATCCTTTAAAACACCAGTGCATTTAAAGCAGAAAACAAAATAATGTTTGCAGATGAGCAGCATCTTTGCAATTGATGCAAGAATTCAGTCCCCATTATGCTGCTCCTTAGGCTGGCCCTTCACACCCAGTTACTGGCTTGTTTGTCCCTGAGCCAATTTGGCTTGCTCTTTTTTACTAAATAATTCAGGCAAGCAATTCTTCTTTGGCTCTGAGGCCAACTGGTACAGAACACCTCCTGTTCGCAAGGTTAAATCACTTTCCTGAAGAGAATGGCCATATCCAAACTTGCTTACGGTCATGGTGCAAATTCTCCTCCTGAGCTGTGCCCAGACCATGCCTGGGAGACAAGTAATGGATGCAGGACAAAACCATGCTAAGGAGTGTGTCAAAACAGACTCCTGTAGGAGCTTCTCATGCACTAACATTCTGTCCCTTTTTTATTCTGGACTATAACTGTAGCCTTGTGTGATTCATAAATCATTTGCTCCTATTCTGAGTTTGACACTAGAGGACTAGACTGAACCTCTGGCAGCCAGCAACAACTGCCTGCAGCAGGAGGAATGGTAGCAGCACCGTGATGTTCCCTCAGAAACTTTCTCTTCTTCATTTGGTAGAAAAATGAGAGATGAAGGTTTGCATCCAGCAGAAGAAAGCTGATGCAGCCACATACTCTTAAAATATCCTGAATCTTCAAAGAGGTTAGAGGACACTTCTAAAGACCTTTGAAAATCTACTAGCTTCAAAATCTACAATATAAACTATTCACTTCCATAGAAGACAGCAAGAAATGAAACTATAAAACAGGATGTCAGAAACTTTGTTATCTTATCCTTATTCATAGCCTCGTGCTACCAAAACCAGCCAACATTTACCTCTGCTGGAGCCAACCCTCAGCACTTAATTGCTTAAGAAAATGCACTTTTAGACTAAATTTAGCGAAATGAAATTTAATGAAAAAATAGAAAGTTTGTAGCATGAGGACAAGACTCTATCCCTGTACCTCAGACAGGAATTATTTGTAAAATCTTATCATAAGATTAGTTATTCAACCCCCCCTTATTGACAGATCATCATCACCAGTTCAGCCAGCAGGTGGAACCAG